GATCGCTCCGTCTTCATGCTTCATAAGAAATTAAGTGTGTCACGTCTTTATTAAGTTGTTATTTATTAATGCCAACACAATCATGCACACCATGTGCTCTGTGACAAGAGTTTGTGCACCACGTTGTGTTTTCTTTGTTTTAATTGGTTAATAATTTTAAGCTCAACCTCCCAGGTTGTTATGAATGGGCCATGTTCTCCTAAATGTTGTGATTCACAAGTGAACGATGTGGCACATGACTTATTTAAACAGTTGAAAGAGACACTACTTCATACGGGTCAAATATTTTAAGAATGTTTCTCAGTGTAAAATTGTAAAGAGTCTTTGGACACACAGTGACCTGCTGCCTCTCCTGCACTCTTAGATGGATGTAAACACAAACACATCTCCTCTTGCAAATTATAAACAAGCCAAATGTTCCTTCAAAAGTAGCACAAACAGAAAATAAATGATGAGTAGAGCTGGACTGATAATCAAGCAGACAGTTTACATTTTTGTGCCTCTACAAATTAAGAAATTTATGATTAATGACTCAAGAAGACGAAACACGTGTTCAAATTTTGGAGCAGGCCCAACATCGATGCTGTAAATAAGTTCTGGCTTTAATATTTTCAGCTGATAGGCAGACGTGCTGCATTTCAAATTCACGCCCAAAGTCTTTAAACATAGTGTGGCACTATGGAGCGTCGGGTTTTACTCAAATTCAACATTTCAAACGTAAATTCAGCTGTGAGTTTATTTATTTCACTGTAACAACCCCAGAAAAAGACATTTAAGATATTGTTCTTGTATAATTTCTGAAGTAATGCACATCTGATCTGCCAAACTTTGAAGAGAAGCAATAAGAAAAACAAAGAGCTTATTGTTGAAATGATCATTAGTTAAGTTACTGTGTGTCCTGCAGAGAGAATGACTGAGCTGCACATTTGGCTTTTCAATGACCACAGTAGAAAAATACAACTTTAATTTAAGCAAAGATCAGTTCGAGTCTGCAGGGATGGGATCAGGTCCTCGTGGCTCTAAACATCAGTCATCTTGTGGCGTCCCCTTTAGACTCGACCTCTGCTTCTTCTGATCCTTCTGGCCCATGACGCGGTACAGTTTTTTTCGTGCGTCTTTCATTCTCTTCATCTTGGCTTCTTCGTCTTTCTCCTTTTGCTGGAGGAACTCTTTATGTTTGGCGTGATGTGCTCTCTGGGCCTCCTTCTTCTTGTAGTGATGCACTGTGCTCAGAGCTCGCAGCAGCTCCGCCACCTACCACAACACGAAAAGTCAAAGCAAAGATCAGTTAGCACAGGGTCATCCTGAGCAAACTGGGTGTTGTGCTGCATAGTTTCTGTCAATAATTACAACATTGCAGCACTGTCAGATCAGTGATTAATCTGGCACCACAGCTCTCTCTGGTTCCTCTCCACCTACACTAAGACTATCACTTACTGTGTTGGGACCACTTAACGAGCTGCAGCACTCATACCGTAAAGTCAGGTTTTGCTCACCTTCCTTTCATGGGGCTCGCGTATCACACTGGCTCTCTTGAGGTCTCTGGGCACCTTTCCTTTGGGTTGCAGTAGTTTGGGTTTGCTTTTAAAGGGGAGGGCCTTCTGGAGCTCCCTGGGGATGTGGAGTGGGTTGAAGTGCCTTGGGGCTCGGGTTATTGGCTGGAAGGTAAAGGAATGTATTTCAGGGTATCGGTTAGTGAAGGTGTACAATGACAAGTGAGGGTACACACAAAGACAGAAGAGATGATGACAATGACCGAATAGTTACAGAGCAAAGGTTTGCGTACTACAGACTCCTCTACAGTTCGTATATATTTCTGGACAACAAGTTCCACATTTACCTTTCCTGTGATGCAAAACAATTCAACAACAAACTGATCTGATCACAAACGTTCTCTTCATTAAAAGGACAGTTTGAGCTTTTTAGATCTTATTACAGTTCTATTAGGCTACGTTCACACTACAGGTCTTAATACTCAATTCCGATTTTTTGATCAAATCCGATTTTTTTGTCTGCTCGTTCACACAAATAAAATGCGACAGCAAACGCGCTCTAGTGTGAACGCTCAAAGCGGCCGCATGTGCAAAAGAAGACGTCACACACAACGCGCTCTGTTTAGACCCAGA